TGGAACCTTGGGAGATGAAAACGGTTTGACAACAGCAAAAATAGCAAGTAGAGAAGAAGGAGCAGGAGCACCTAATGAGCTTTACATAAATATATGCAGAGGCAATTAAGCAATGTTAATTACTATGACAGCAGTTAATTGAATATAATTAGATATTTTAAGCCACTGAATAAACCATAGTTAAGATTAATTTTATTGAGATTAATTGTAAATAAGGAGAGATTAACTCGTGTTTTGACAGGCATAAAAAGTAGTTTTGCAAATTAAGCAGGAGCATGGCCACCAGTCCAAAAATCATATATTATTTTAATGTCACACCTCAGAATCATCTACTCAGTAAACATGACTTTTCAAACCCAAACAGACAGGAATCTTGAAGAAAAACAAACAGCTTGCAGAGATTAAAGAGCCTTTTGTCCTTTTTCATGTGCATTTCTTTTTACAGACTAAATTAAGCGAGTCTGGTGTGCGTTTTTTAGGAAGGAACATTTCACACTGAATGGAAAAAATGTTCTATCACATATGAAATTCGTGCAGCTGTGCGGAACTTGGTCCAGATGGTTTTAGACTATAAAACACCACCAAATGATAGACAGTAGGCCTTCCTAAGATTATGTGATAAAGTCACAATCTTTCATTTTGACCTCCTAAATTTCTGCTTTGTATTACTTTCAATCAAATCACGTATTTTCTTGTACAAATGTGTTACTCTAGGAGGGTTAAAAGAAACACTGAACCTACTAAGTGCTAGAAATAAATGTAAAATGAATTGAAGAAGGCCTCCTTTAACAGATATCAGCTGAATCATTCAGCCACAGAATGCAATGATGGCTATGATAACAACGTATGCAGATGACAACACTTGATTATTACTCTCACACACACAATGGTTTCTAGAAATACTTCCTGGGAAAATATTGCTAAATGAAAACCCCTCCCAAATACTTTCACACCAAGCTAATTCAAGCATAGTCTTTAAGAAAATTAACACAGTCCTCAAGAATGCTGAACAAATCACTAATAAGAAAGGAACTTCAATTGGTTTTGAAATAAATCAATAGGTGATTAACATAGCATTTTAAAGCAGCAGAATGTGTCTGTGTATATATATATGTATATACATATATGTATGTATAACATAAACATATATATTATATTTCCAATACCTCTTAGCCCTTAATCGAACAGGGGCTTTATGGTCTTGAGCCTGCCTCTATCCTGCCTCACAACTTCTTTAGGATGGTCTTTATAACAAAAATCCTAAAATGGTCTGTGAAACAAGACTACGACAAGCCATTCTGCAGTGAAAGATTTTAAATCATCCAGCCTCTTCTAATAGACTTGAGACTTATTGAGGTAGAAACCATAAAAAATGAAGAAGGGAAATTTAATCCCTGAAATATTGATTTGCACATTAATATCATATAGGCAGAGGGCAATTTGGCTTCGTGGAAATGACACATTGTCGACCCTTGGTGAAGTCAGAGCCAATCTAACTGCTGAACATGTCTGAATCTCAAGAGTTATTAAGGGCTTCCCTTCTTGCCTTTATGACTTTTCTTCAGCCTACCAATGCAATCTTAAATGTATTATCTTTAAGAAATAATTGTAAAACCTCAGGGGCTTTCCAGTTAATGGAAGGGAGGCCAAACCACATCAGATTCTGAAATGCAACATTAAACCCTTGCAATCAACAAAACCACCTCAATTCTCATCCATCCAGTGGAGGATCTAATATTGTTATTAGAGATAATCAAATTTCATTGTGTAAATTTAGGCTCATGGTCAGAATGAAAGCAGTAAATTCTGCAATATTAAACAGAGATTTTCTCAGCATCCTTTATGTTTTCCTTTGCTGGTGCAGCATCTTTTAAAATAATCCAACTAGCTCAAAATTAATGAACAGATGTGGGCTCATCTGCTAAAACCTGCAAAAGATTACAATAGAACTGAACATGTTCCCTTCATTTTTAACTTTAAGTGGCAACTTTCACTTCCTAGACCCGAAGCCCACTCTCCCTGTCTAACCCCACAGTTGGTGCTATTGCTTTGACTTACACAGCTGGTTTACCTGACCTTTCTTTGTTCCTTAGGTACATTTCACTTTCCAGATTTATGGTATTTCCCCCATATTTCATTGACTCTATCTTCACTGCCATAAAAATGAAAACACTTAAATATGAGTTTATTTTTTTAATCCAAAAGCAACCAGCTATTGAACAAATACACAGGGATGTTCTCTCCCCAGTTTATGCCATAAATATTGAAACTGTTTTTTTTTAAAATAACTGAATAAACCTTATGATCCCCACACTCAAGCCAGGTGCAAGAGGTTAAAACAGCTGGCTAGCCATCTTTTATTTTTGTGTGCCTTCCTGCTGACTGAAACCACAAACGTTGAAAACTATCAAATATTCCCTTAAGAATTTTTTTTTAAGAATAGAAAGGAGAAAGAAAACCTTCATTTTCTTTAATATGCTCCTCTGTGGAGAAGAAAAACTCTAAAACACAATTAGCCACAGAGGTAGTGAGAGTCCCAAATATCTCCTTTCTGTTGCATTTAAACCATCATTTCCAATAACTTCTATACACAATTGTTTGTAGTCTTCAGTTAGAAAAGAGTAAAGAAGGAAAAAAAGAAAGAAAGAAAGAAAAATCTGAGCTTGCTCTGTCAGTTTTGCCAGTAAATATAAAGTAAAACAAATGTTGATGGCACCGAGAGTGTTACATACCCGGGCTGTGTTTTTGCATTGCTCTCAATGGAAGCGATCGATGCCCGTGTCACTGTCGCGTCCCAATCGTAGCCAAGTCTCAGTCTTAATCTAAGCAACACCCGAAAAGGCAGCGGCACCCGCAGCCTCTCCCTGACTCTTCCATCCATCCACCCTACTAAAAATATAATACTACATATGAGCTTTAACCACTCCACGTTTATAGGGATCAAGCCACTGAAAATCCAGGAGAACACAATAAAAAAAAAAAAAGCCTCCTTCTGTCTCTGTCTCTCCTCTCTCTTCCTCTCTCCTCTCCTCTCTCTCTGTCTCTCCTTTGCCATCTACATGATCCTTGATTAAACATGGAACAGAGTTATTAAAAAAAGGTTGGGGAGGGGGGGGAAGGACTCAGGGAGAGGAAATGCAACTGTCAGAAATCGGGACCGCCAGATTTCCTGGTGAACCTGCCTCTGTCTGAGTCAGTGTCAATCCACCATCTTCTGCCAGTGAACTTGTCTTTGGGTTTTTGTTTGGTTTGGGGGGGTCGTTGTTGGTGGTGTGTGCCTTTTTTTTTGGTAGGGGGGAGGGGAAAGGCAAGGTGGGGGCTGAAGGTGGGGGGTGTAGGGAGAACGTGTGTGTGTGTTGAGTATGAGTGTGTTTGTGTGTGTGTAGGGGTCGGAGTGGGGGGGATCCGTGTGTGCGATCTGAACCTTTGGTACCTACAAGGAGGGTGTCTCACCGAACGGTGGCTAAGACCTCAACAGAACCCCGCGGAAGTGAGGAGTCTCGGCCAAAGGCACCCGCTGGAGCCTCCTCTCTGGGCCGGACCCCAGCCCGAGCGGCGAAAGGAGCCCCAGCCCGGATCACAGGTAACAAAAGAAATACAAACCAGTGCACCGTCTTCTGTGGGGGAAGGGGACAGGATGCGGAACCCTCTGTAACTTGGGCATCGGCACAGAAACTTTATACAATTCCATGACAAATTTTATTTCTTTTTACCGATTAAAAAAAAAGAGCAGAAAGAATTGGAGGAGGGGGAAGTGAAATGGAAGTGTAAGGAAGGCGAGACCCGACGCGTTCCAGCCCCTCTTCCCTTAGTTGCTCCCGGCCGGAAGGCGCACTTGATGCCTGCAGAGGCGGAGAAGGTGAAGTTCGTTTGTAGACATGGAACCCCTTTCGGGGGGCCGGGGAACAAATCAGTTCTCACAGCCAGCCGCAGCCCCCCAACACACACGCGCGCGCGCGCGCGTGAACACACGAACCGTTTGCCCTTTGCCAAAAAGAAAGGAAAAGATTCTTGACCCGAGCCGCCGGCATCTATCCGCTGGACTAACCTAACACCCGGCAGCGAAAGCGCCGGGAAGGGAGCTGCTGCCGCCTCCCGGGCCCCTGGTCGCGCGGCCCGGCGATCCCGCCTCCTAACGGACCTGCCCTCCGTCGGCCGGCGCCCAAGTCCGCGCCGCCAGCGCCGCCGGGAGCAGCCCTGCGCTGTGCCCGCCGCCGCCCGCTTGGGCCGGCGGGGCTCTACCTGCAGCCCTGGCCCCAGCCTCTCGCAACCCCCGCCCAGGGACCCGCGGTCCTCTCCAGTCCCGCGCACTAAGCGCCCTTCGGGGAACTTGAGAAAGGGAAGGGGGTGGGGTAGGAGGAGGAAGAGAAACGAGGCTGACTGAGGAGGGGCTGGGGGGTGAAAGCAGGGCGAGAGCGGCTCCCAGGCCCACCGACCACCGTCCAAACTTTCGGAGGATGGCCCCGGAAGAAGGGTCATCCCGACCGAGGTGCAGGAGGAGCCGGGTGACCGGGGACCCCTGGCAGTGCCCACGTCGCTGCGGAGCTGACACCTTCCCGGCGCCGCGACAGAGCCCCGGGCTCGCGGTGGAGGGCAGACCCCGAAAAGACAGGAAAAAGGAGAGAAAACTGCTCGGCCAAACGTAGATGATCCGCCACTTAATCCAAAAGTTAAATCCCGAAAAACGCAGCCCCCAGAGAAAGTGGAAAATCAGGTCCCTCAGTGCCCCCTCCCTCCTTCAGCGGAGCAAATCCTTGAGCCAAAAAAACGGGGGGAAAGAGATAAAAAAGGGGGGCAGAGCGGAAGAGATAGTCGGGATGTAGGGATGTGTGCGAGAGCGAACGGGAGCGAGCGAGCTAGGAGCAGAGAGGGAGAGAGGCGGAGAGGGAGAGAGAGGGAGCGAAATATCAAAGATTGTGCAAGATCAGGCTGGAAAGATAATCGATACTCGACCTAAATTTAACACAAACTACTCAATAAAAGTTAAAGAAAAAACTTACTTTCCATTTCCCCTGCAGTTCCTACTCGATCTTCGCCTCTTTTTTGTTTTGCTTTTATTTTACTTACAGCTGATCACATCCAAGTAAAACGAGAGGGTTCATTAAAAAAAAAAGAAAAAGAAAAAAATAAAAAAATAATCCTGGAACTTTATTGGGTGAAAATCAAAACGCTGGAGCAGAAAGTGGGGGGCATGAAGCGGTCCTCGGGGGTCCGGGAGGAGTTAAAGCATGTGCCGACCGCGGTCTCGCTGTTTAGTTGTGAAGGGGTTGGGAAAAGGAGGAAAGGAAATGAAAATCCGATATGTCTTTATTCTGCTAATTATTATCGTTTTAGCCCTGTTTAAAAAAATGGCTGATTAAGTTGAGTGCGCATGTCTTTGTGTGTCTATTCCCGATATGCACTCTGGGAATGAGAGAGGAGAGCAAGGGAGAGGGAGAGGGAGAGGGGGGAGAGAGAGGTGTAATTAGTGAGGTGATCAACATTCCCCAGACTGCAAATGACGCGCAGCCCGGACTCTGAGCAGCCCGGCAGCCTCGCGGCTTCCAAGGCTCGGAGCGCTGCGGCGGGAGCCCGCGACGCGGCGACCGCGGAGAGGGCAGGGGATGGGGACCTCCGGGGCTCGCACCCCACGCGCCCGACTCCCAAACTTCATTAGGCACACACACACACACACACGCACACATACATATACACACACACAGAGCGAAGGCAGTGTGTGGGGGGGGATAAAGCCTAAATACCGCTGAAGCAATGCCCTTTAACCACTCATTTTTTTTTTAATGACGCAAATTATTATCGGACCAGAGATTTGTTTACTAGGGAGCTTGAAGTAGAAATATGAGTTAGGGTAATGAAGAGGATTTCTCCGCCTAGTTTATGCTGCGACTTTCAAGAACGCACTTTAATGCCGAGATACAGGGGCCTGAGCAAATATGCAGATGTATGTAAATAGAGGGTGCCTGGCTGTGTGCAAACACCGCTTGGCCCAGAGTATTTCAAAGGAGGAATTGCACTCTGGATCCGTAGGCACACTATTTAAATACGAATATTTAGCTTGCACACTGAGGAGAGAAAACACAGGACAAGAGAAAACCCAGGACACAGAATATGGAAGCAGTTAGTGTAGTCCAAGTAAACTTTCAAATGAGAATAAGTGGTGGTTGTAAAGGTGATAGTGGGAGTGCAGGTTTAGTCGCCTTTATGTAATATTTTTGAATATTTTATCAGAATTGCATAAGTTCAATGTAATAGCTTTAAGAAGACTTAGGGGAAAAAAACCTTTCATCTTGAAAGTCTGTTGAATTATCTTTCTTGAAGCACATTATGATGAATTTTAAAACCCCCACTACAGATCTCATTAGAATGAAATATACTTGGTATTTTCTGGTGCAAAATTTAAGGTGGCTGATTCTCATTTGAAAATCTAATTATCTCTTTCCAATATTACAGATGTGAATATGAGTGACACTTTCATTAAAAGATAATTAACTAAAACTAGGAATAGACATACTTTTAAATACCCCCTACTAATATGGAATATATATATTCAGTATGGATAATATATATCCATTGCTACTTAGTATCTTGATACACTGCTACACCACAGGTCACAAGTAGACACCATCTATGCAATATTTCAAAAATAGAAATTCTAGAGAAAAGGTGAGAGTAATAAATCAAGCAAGCTAAAAAGAGGAAATACTTGCAATGTCCAGCTTCCTAGACAGGTGAGGTGTCAGCTGCTTTTGAGTTGACAGGCCTTTGAAGTTCTAGATTGCCAGGATCTGCTTCAAAACCTTGTCTTAGGCCTTAAGCACCAAATCTACCAAATACCAACAGAGAGGTTTATCACACAAGCACTAGGAACTACAGACGCTACAGATATGCATCTTTCCAGGCCTGAAACCTAGTGTTACTAGGAAACACTTGGAAAATCCTAGAACGGATGCAAATGGGATTAAAAACCAAACAAAACACCTGGGAGGCTAAAAGTATAGTCCTCAAAGGAGCAGACCTAGGCCTAGATCAAGAAAGCTAGTTGCCTACAGCAGCTGGCTAAGGTTACAATGAAAGTCGAGGCTCAGAGTGGAGAATAAAATCTAGATATGGTCTTTATTAAGAGAAAAAAGCAAATCACCACCTCAGGAGTCTGGAGTCAGTGCCTGTACCAGTGTATTAGAAACCAGGGCTACTAAATGTTAACAGAAAGAAAATTATCCACCTCTCTGAAGACTCCATTCCATTTTAAAGTTGTTTGGCAAGAAATCTTCCCAAAGTGTATGGCTTTCTAAGATTTTAAAGTTACTTTGCTTACAGTCTCACCTTTCCACAGCAACTGTATCACCAGTGTGCTAACAGTGTCTGATTGCACCTCAGCCGGGTTTAGTGCCTTAAGGAACATACATGCCCAAGAGAGTAAAATTTAAATTCTCTGTAACTTGCAAGTGAAGAAGGTGTTTATGTAACATTGCTGTTTACTGAAAAACACCCCAGAGAGCAAAAATTCTGGCTTGAAAAAAAACTATTTTAGGTGTGTGTATGGGAAAGGGGGTGGAGGCTTTTGAAGAGACTGAGGGGAAATGAAGGCAGGGAAACTTTCAGGTTCAAATCAGAAAAGATCAAGCCCTTTGCGGGAGAGGGCTCCATGTACAAGCTCACTGATGGAAAAACCATTTCCTGCGATTTCAGAGGGGTAAATGTGTATGATGAAGGAAACACCTGAGAACAATAAGTCTGTTTCAAGCTCAGGTGAAGAAAGGGGTCTATTTCTGGCATGGAAGCATAGAGAAATGATGATCATTTCGTTTTCAAGTTCTCCTTTCTTTTGCTTTTTCTCCCTGAAACATCATCAATAACATTAATGTCATTAATGTCAAAACACCAAACGTCAAATCAGGAAAACCATTAAAAAAATTTGGTGGCCATTCCTCCTCGTCCCCCACCCTCTCTCTTCTTGGAAAATACAGCTCTGTGTGGGGGTGGGGTGGGGGGGAGGGAGGAGCAGTTATTGAACTCCAAGTAAGAAAACAAAAAGGAGGATGTGTCAGAGGGGTGCCCACTTTTGCAATCCCTTCTGCTAGCGAGTATTCCCCTCCCAGCTTGCGTGTGTTCTTTTTAGTCATCTCTTCCTCGTCTTCTTTCACCTCTTTCCTAAAAAGAGAAGCTGGGGTGAGGGTCGGGGTTAATAGGCTGAGGGGAAGGGGCAGTGAGGGGAACTAGCACGCAGTCAAGAGTTTTCTCCAGGGCTCGGCCTTGTAGCGCGCCAGCGCCAGGAGGGTAGCTGGGGAGCTGCGTCTGCAGGTCTGCATGGGGTGGGCCCGGAGGCGCGGTGCGCGGCGCCGCGGGCAGGGGCGCGGCGAGGCGGGCGAGCCCGAGCCCCGCCAGCGGGCTGCTCCGGGGCGCGGGGCTGGCGCGATCCTCCCGGCTTGGCCCGGCCGCGCCGCTGCGCCGCGGCCCCTCGCGCCCTCCTTTTGGCTCCTCGCCCCAGAAAACCCAGCTGCCCCTCTCGGGTCTCTGCGGACCCGGTGCCGTCAACCTTTGACCCATTGTGTCCCACAAGTATTTCGCTATCCCTAAACTCTGCGCGAACCAGCCGCCGCCCTCACGAACGTTTGACCACTTTTAACTAACAAGTGAAACGAGCAGAGGTTTCCGTGCTGCACCGAGAACTTTCCCTAGACCCTCTTCTGCACTCTCCAGGGCTACCCCAGCCGATCACCCTCCGGAGCGCTCGGACCCTGACACCCGCGCGGAGGTAGGGGAGAACCAAACGGGGATACCAGGTGGTTAGGTGTTGAGTGCTGGAAACAAGGAGTAATTAACATTGAGATAAAAGGTAATTTCCACTTCTAGACTTTTCCTCGGCGTATTTTATTCCCCAAATCTATGCCGCGGACACTCCGGGCTTTACAATCGGTTTAATGAGTCTTCAGCATTCAGTTCCCAGTTCCCCCGCCCTACCCTCGCCGACTCACTAATAAATACCCCACCTCCCACTCCCTCTTGTCCCTCCAGCTCAGACCAACCCCAGCCCAAGGGGAAAAGGTTCCCAGTCTTTTGACCGCGCTTCCGGGGTCTATAGATGAGCTCAGTTTGAAACGAGGTATTACAAGATTTCAGCGTTAGGAACCCTTTATATCACCACAGACACTTTCAGATCCTCAGCCCCCTCCTCCTTCCCTCTTTTTGTTGTGTCTTCTCCACCCGGGGGCTATTTAACAAAGGCAGTCTGTTAACTAACATTTTTGTTTAACTCAGCAACTCCTTTCCAAAACACACTTAAACCTGACTACCAATGTCTGTCATTTTGTGTGAGTGGGGAGGTGAGAGGGCTGGGTGTGGGGGTGTGTACGGGTGAGACCTCAAGTTGACAGTGAATCGGAAAGTGCAGGACTTATTTGGGAAGGTGTCACAAACACATATTTACAGCGAAATAATTCAAGAAATAGTGTGGGAGAGTGCCAAATCTCATTACTATGAAAAAAGTCTATTTTCTTGAGAACTAACAAATAGGAGTGTGTGTGTGTGGGGGGGGGTAGATTTAGAATATTACTTGACATCAGAATGGGCGCTCTCTTTGATGGTGAGAGTGAGCCAGATGAAATTAAATTTAAAAAGGAAAGGTATTTTGAGTGTGTGTATATATGTGTGCAGTATTGGTGAGCAGTTAAATCCGTTGTTTGCTGATTCCCTCCCCTCCCCCAACCTGGCTCTTATCTCCTTTGTAGTCTTTTTTTCTTTTTTAATCATAAAAATGCCTCCCCCACCACCACCACCACACCCACCCCGGCCCCGGCCCGTCCTGGGTTTCTATCTCCATACTTCACATCCTTGTATATTTCTCTCTGTCTAGACTGAAGTCCATTTCTGGCTTTTAGTTTGTAGTAAATCTGCTTTTCCTTTTTTTTCCCTGGAGGTTCAGACCTGTGTTTTTGTGTGCGGGTGTCTGGGGAGTCATTATGCAAAGTTTGACACAGGTAAGGTAAGGAATGGGGAGTGGGGAGGAGTTACAGAGGGTCTGAGGGGGAAAGATTAAGGGAGGAGAAGAGGGAAGGGGGACGCGGGAAACAGAAAAGTCAGACACCCTCTGGCCTTTCAGAGGTCAGGGCTCAGACAGCGCTGTGACCTCCTTTCCCTCCAGGCAACCAGCCCAGTGTTTATAAACAAAATCAGGCAGGACTCTCCCTAAACAATAGCACTTGACTAACTTCACAAGCACTTCCACAGCTCTTATGCAAATTAATGAGGACTCCTTATCACCACTGCACCCCTGTCCCCAACCCCAGCACACAGACACACTAACACCACCTAAACCCAGGATCACACCCTTCTCAAAACATATGGAGATATTTCCAGGAAGCATACCCAACCAAAATTTTACATTCCATCTGGGGAAGTGCTCTAAGAGAAAACGATGCAGATGGGAAAAGATAGACAAGTGGGGAAAGAAAGAAAGAAAGAAAGAACTGTGATTTCACTGAATAGAAGAGAAAGTTGTGATCTTTTTCAACCTAAAACATCTATATGCAGTCAATGAAATGCTGTATGGACAATATACTAAACACTGACCACCAAATATAATTATTTTAAAACAGGACATTACAGTCATCCAAGCATCCACATTTCCAAGACAAGAGTGCAGATCTTCACAGTTGAAGACAAGCCACCACCTCTGTATATAACACCCCTAAGTATTACAGACAAAAGCACCATTAAATCCTACAGCAAACAAACAGCCCATCTGATCTAAGTTACAAAATGTATAATTAAATCCATCTTCAATTAAAAAAGGCAGCTAGCAGAAACTGAGTCAAAGATTTTGAAACAAATGTTGTTTGCCAAGGTACAGAAGTGATAGCTTTGCATTATATTGTAACCAAAACTCCATATAAGGAATAAATTACACAATAGGTGTAAAAAAAGGTGAAAGCCAAAACAAAAAAAGAATTAAATATCAAAGTTTTTAAAATTATTATTAATAAAAATCTAGGAGAAAAAGGTTAAAGAAGATATACCTCAGAGCAAAAAGATCATCTCCTTTTCTTCTTTGTCTATCGGTCCCCTGTTAAAGCATATGGAAAATGTTTTCAAAATGCCCAGATTTGGCACATTGTCACTGCAAAGAGAGGAACGCAGTGATGCTGTTAGAGAAAATGGGAAATAAATGCAGGATTGGGTGCTGCCTCCTTCAATGCGGATTTATCTAAGTTTAATTTAATATTCTGCAATCACTGAATGATCGCATATAATTCACCAAGATTTTAAAGGGCTTTATTTAAATACCTTGAGCAACAAGAGAATGAAATTTAAACCATGGCAGCCATTGCTTATATATTTTTTATTTTCCTATTAGAAGAACTTTAAGCAGCAATTTCTAATAATAAAGAGGAAAACGATAAAGGTTTGGGTTTTTTAAAGGAGAAATGTTTAAGGAAAGCATTAGTTTTATTAAAATCATTCTGAACGTAAAATCAAAAAGCACAAAATGGTTGTTTGTAAAACACTAAACCTTTAATCGATTTTATTGGCATTCCGATCGATTAGATAAACGGAAATCTATAGCAAACATCAAAGCATTTAAAACATTTTCTCTATCTCATTTATAAACAAAACTTTTCTTTTCAGCAGGAAAAAAATGATTATCAAACGACTAACAGGAAATTCTTCAGATATCAAATTACGATAATAAAATTATTTCCACATGGAAAGGGATAATGACAATGATGATAGTAATTACAATAATGAATAATTCAACAACCCTTTGACATGTATAGAAGAACCGCGAGCAGAAATCGCTCTTGAAGGGGGGCTACTTTAAAATAAATACTTTATTTTTAAAGAATTTTTTTTTAGAGACAACTCAGGAGAAGTAGCTTAGGTGTGGTTGTCGAACTAGTGTTAATTTCCTTCTTTGTCGGGGTTTTCCTTCCAAATTGAGTTACTTATTAGTAAAAATTAATATGCAAATATCAGTGAGCCATTTCAGGTTTACAAACTTGTGTCTGGACCTGTGTTGTACTTATTCTAGAAGGTGATTCCCAAATTATAGAGGGTGGCGAAGACGGGACTCCCAACCCTGAATGTGACCACACGTTTGATCTTTTAAGTGAAGGAAAATAATTTATTTGGAGATAGGACAACTGCTATCCGGAGAAATGCAGCAATCAGAGCTTATGGCATTCTAGTTGCAGCAAGAGGAGGTGTTGCTGTAACGGGTATTATGTTTATTTGTTAAAGAAAATCAATGAACGTGGCTGTAAAGTAGTTAGTTAAAGCGTCTGTTTGGGACTAGCGGTGAATCGTGACTCAGGCAGGCTGAAGGAGCAGCTCTTCTTGCGGGAAAAGTCCCTGCGTCGCCCTGAGCCGGGGCGCGGGCGACAGGCACCTGGCTTCCAGTTCGTGGGTGCTCCCAGCGGGGCTCGGGTCCTTCGCCCAGTCGCTCCAGTTCTCGGCCCTTCTGCGCTCTGTCTAAGCAGTTGCTCCTTCCCGTTGACTGTGGTTGCCTTTCCACACCCTCCGTCAGCAGCCCACATCTTTTTCCTCTTTTTTCTCACTGACTGGTCATTTCCTTCTTCCTTTACCCTACAGGTCTTAACTTCTGTCCTTCTAGTTCTTCTACAGGAATCTCACTCTTCCGACCCTGTAAGCCTCGCCGGTGAATCGCCGGTATTTCTTTCCTACCCCGCCCCTCCCCCATTTCTCTCTCCTGCCAATTATTTAGCACCCGGGTCTTCTTACCCTCTTACTTCTATCCTTTCCTTCAGACATTCCAGAGTTCTCATCACACCAGAATGCACTCTTTTTCTCCTCCTCCTCCTCCCCTTGGATTGGGGAGGTAGAAGGGAATTTCGAGTTGAACTCCCGAGGGTTTTATTCTATTCTTTTAACAGCTTTACTTTCCCTTTTCTTCTTTGCGTAACCTTCACCTACCTACTAATTTATCCCAGAAGCGGTTCTTTCCCTTTCATTTCCCAGTTTACAGTTTCCGTCTGGGGGTGTGCGTTGCACACGCACTCGCTAGCTCCCCACTCCCGACCGCCTCCGCCGGCCCAGGCAACTCTTGGCATTTCCTCGGTTACCGTCTAATTGCACTTTCTCTTCTCTGCATAACTTACTTTACGTGATTTAAAGTTCTTCGTATAGCGCCTGTATTTGTCGAATTACTTCGTTGCCTAAAGGAAGGGTGCGGGATGGGGGGAGCGTATCACCCAATTAAGTCCCTTGTAACACCCTTTTACTCCAGGCCCACCCCCACCCCACCCCCGCCCAGGTAACATCTTGTGAGAATAATAACGAATTCTGGAAGATTTTTCTTCTCAGCGGGTGCAGAGTACTTGTGAGTTTTCCCTGAGCGGGCTCACACCTCTCCCTTGTGTCCTCTGGCTTCCAGTGGTCCCCGCTCTCACACCACCCCCCCTGGCCGCCCGGCTGCGCGAGGGGAGCGCTGTCTAAGGCCCTAGTTCTCTGGCTTCTGGTTTCTAGCTGCTGCAGCTGCCGCTGAAATTCGCTGTGGCCGCTGCCTCTTCCCGCTTTAATCCCAGACCTCCAGTCATTGGGCAGCTCCTCAGAGGCAAGAAGTCAACACCATGGCAACCCGACAAGCCTATCAAATCCCCGGCTGGCGTGACAGCAGCTACACTGCAGGCAGGAGTGGGCTGGGCAGAAGAGCCGAGTGGCCACTCTTCTCAGGTACACAGTCTGGGACTGGACAGTGGCTGTCAGCCTCCAAGTTTTTGCTACACGGATGTGCACCACTCAGTTCATACTCCTACCCTCTGTCGCCTAGATAGTCTGGAGGAGGAGAGGAAGAGGGAAGAGGAGGAGGAGGGATAGGAG